AACCCTAAACCCTAAACAAGAATGATGCTTCTGGTGCTTGGTCTGCTAATGTGCTTGCGATGCATCTTCTGCTGTTGCTCCTCAGCTCCCAATTAGGGTTCTTTAACTTGTTACACTTAGGGTTTAGGGTTTAGGNNGGGTTTTGAGTTTAGGGTTTAGAGCTTAGGTGGAACCTTGATTTCCCCGTGAAACTTTGCAACGTTCCTTCATCTGGGCAGGGCAGAAACAAGTGATGAGTACCCTATATCGAAACCAATCCCGAGAAGCGCCTGTTGAAACTCTGAGTTCTGTGTTCACGTTACATACAATAGGGTTTTGGGCAACGCTGCAAGTATGTGGAGACTGTAAGTGGACCAAAACTGCCATTTTCAGGGCCTCTAGCAAGCTGAGATGCGCACAGTGAACTCTGAATATGTGCACTACGTATACACCCTAAGACCAAAACTCCCCATCCCTAAACCATTAACCTCGAAACCCTCTAAGAAATCATGTTGATTCCCTAAAGCCCTGAACCCTCAACAATATCACCCTAAGCCCCAGCCTTCGAGGCCAGAAATCCAAGGAGCCCCAAAAGCGACCCCCGCACATCAAAACAAACTGTTCGGGTTTAGGGGGTTTAGTGTGTTTAGGGTTTAGGGGTTTAGGGGTTTAGGGTTTAGGGTTTAGGGTTTAGGGTTTAGGGTTTAGGGGTTTAGGGTCTAGGGTTTAGGGTTTAGAGGGGTTTAGGGTCTAGGGTTTCGGTACGTGACGTAAATAACCATAATGGTGACGATAGGCAAGATATCGGTAACCAAGAAGCAAGCAGGGTAGTATCAAATGTAAGTATTTTGCGGTAGTAACATTAACGACATTAAGAACGGCTACGATAGCAGTAATAGTACTAACGGTTTACTTTATTCATAACAGTTTAAGAATGATTTGGTAATAACTCAACATAGATGAACAAAACTCAAAGTATGTTTACACTGACTTGGTATTCCCTTAACAATACAGTACTATGGAAAGCCGTAACCCTGAATCCTAAAGCCCCTAAACCCTAAACCCTAACTACTAACCTCGACCCCTAAACTCTGAGCCCGCAAGCCTATAAGCCTATAAGCCCCAAAAATCCTACAAACCAAACCCTAGAAAGCCTCTGAAGCCTGCAAATTTCAAACCCAACAAACCCTATCAAGCCTGGAAACCCCAAACACTAGAAAACCTCTAAAAGCCAAACCCCTAGAAAACCCTACCAACCCTCATAACAAACACCCTAGAACACCCTACAAACCCTCAAAATGACAATGAGAAGGCCTCGACCATCTCGAGGTTCAGCACAGAAGTGGGATCGAAGCTTTCGACCTGTCGTGGGCGTTGGTGGATTTCTTCGGGGGGTATTAAACCCTAAACCCTAAACGCTAAACCCTAAACCCTAAACCATAAGGGTTTTTGGGTTTAGGGCTCCAGGGTTCCAGGCTTTAGGGTTTGGGGTTGCGCGGAGGGTGGAATTTATTTGTGGGGCCTTATTAGGTCTGGTATAAGTTGTTTGTGGCGCTTTATGAAGGGTTCTAGGTTGTCTATAGCCTTGTTGACTAGGGGCCTCAAAAGTTAGAGCCTGGTTTATCAAAGGGCTCCACAAGGGGTTTTTGCATGGTAGCACCAGGGCCTTAAACAATGAGAGAGTGGGGTCTTGCGGTGTGTTACAGTACAATACGGTTGAGGGTTTAGGGATAAAGTTGGTGGAGTCTCGTGTTCGGCGGCTTAAAGGATTTAGGGATTGCAGGGGCTTGGGTTTTTTGGTTCGGTTTTCAGGGCTTTTGGGTTGTCTGTTTAGGGGATGAAGGGCTTGTGGGTGGCTGCGGTGGTGTTAGGGTGATGGCCTAGGGCTTTGGCTTAGAGTTTAGACGATTACAGATCCGGCCTCCTCGTTGGAGCCTGCTGAAACGTTCACTTATTTTGGGGTTTGAGCCAGTTTAGGGTTTCGGGTCTGAAACACGCATATCCGGACCTATACTGGCAGAGGGCAGGA